GCGCTGTCCGGATTATCTCCTTGGAAGCAACTCCTGGGAGTAGCTTCTCCGACAATCCGGTCAATCCCTTACTTTTCCGTCGCTGGAAACTGTCCGTCTCCTGCGAACACACTTTTCCACCCTGCTCCTCCGGTGTCTACCTCCTTCTCCTTTTCGCTCTTTTTTTCTTTTTCTGCCCCCCTTTTTTCCCGCCGTTGCTCCCTTTTCCCCTCTCACATGACCAGGGACATATCCACTCGAAACATAAGTTAACCCCTTAGGGTAATCCAAATTTACAATACTTAATTAAACAAAGAAAACAAATACATAAAATAAATAAATCTCAACACCATCTTTACACATAGGGTTACACAAGCTTTAAAGAACATTTACAGAGCTCCAGAAATAACTACAGGCTACTTTGCTCACTCATATTGTTCTGATATCCCTAGCTGCCTTTATGCAAAAGCTGTCAATTTAATAGAAATTAACTTAATGCAAATCTGTAAACAAGGCTTTGCATGAGGAAACAATTTGTCTGACTTTAACATGGTGAAATTATATCAACCTTAATTTCTAAACAAAAAAACTTGAATTCACTTTTTCTATTTCCCCAGTTCAAAGTGTACTGTATTCATTTCATATTATCAAATTAACTAGTGCTAAAGGGTTATTATATTTAAAGCTGTGATGGTCTTTATACTGATGTATCATTTTACGGTACCTTGGTTTATAGTTCTGAATATTTACCTTTTTTCCATTTGAAGGTACTTATTAGTATTAATTTAAATTAATGTAAGAATGGCAGAAATATTCAAACACCACTGAGGTCGTGATCTGGAGACATGGCCAGAAACCTTCCTAATGGGTGTGTTTTTCTAGAAACCAGAATATCACACGGGCCTTTTGTATGGTGAATTAACTTTTGGGGGCCGGGAACGTGTCTTCTTCTTGGCCTTATTGGATGAGCTGGAAGAGTATATAAGGTACAATGAAGAGTGTCTAGGGGACATTATACAGCACATCATACCGAGGATCATCCTACTACTGTAGCCATAATATCCAAGTTATTTTGCTAAAGAATTACAGTCCTTCACTATTATCAAGAAAACATTCAGCTGTCTTGGTAAGTTATATATTTTGCATGTATGATATTTTTCTGCAGTTATTACTGTTGAGTGCTAAAAGCTCTTTGAAGAGCAAAATACCTTATTAAACATGTGGCATTTGGACATTTACCACAGATGCATATTGGGGGAACTATTCTCCAGGCTTTTCCATGTTGAAAGAGGTTCTCTTTGATACTGTCCAGGGAAGCAACTTCAGTGGGTTATTAGAGGAAGATCTTTCATAATCTTGAGTGTTGATGCTGTTTAATGTCTCCTCTAAAGAATGAAGTATCCTTAGTAGGTTAACAGATTAAAACCAGTGGTTGATGAATATTTTATGCCTGCTTATTTTATGGAGAGCTGGCAGAGGTGTATAGAAGTTATAAAAAGCATATTAGATAGTGCAGACAATGCAAAGCACTAGACTGGACAGAAAGGTCTTTTTATTTTTGTTGTATTTGGGATAAAAAGTGCAAGATGCTGTTGCTTCTTTTGCCACAGAGGACCCCAACAAACAGAAATGAGACCCTGGGGTTACAGTGTAAATAGTTGAAATAACACAAAAAGTCTGAATATGCTCCATTTCCATTGACGCGTATCAAGATATAGCAATAGAAATGACATTAAAGAAGGTGGAATTGCATTTACCCAAGTATTTTAATACTGGTTAAATATTACAGCTCCAAATACCGTCAAACCTCCCTTATCCGGGCAGAATGGGACCAAGGGGTGCCCATAAGTAAGAAATGCTCGTAAGTAAGAAATGCCAGTAAGTAAGAAATGCTCGTAAGTAAAAAATGCCCGTAAGTAAGAAATGCACGTAAGTAAGAAATGCCCGTAAGTAAGAAATACATGAGGTGCAAGGCTTATACAACCCCTGGCATAAATTATGGAATCACCAGTCTTGGAGGATGTTCATTCAGTTGTTTTATTTTTTAGACAAAAAGCAGATCACAGACAAGACACAAAACTAAGTGAATTTCAAATGGCAACTTTCTAGCTTTAGAAAACATTAAAGGAAATCAAGAAAACAACTAGTTATTCAG